AACACTTTGCCTCTAGAGATAGGTTTATATGTATGGAACCAATCTCGATTAGGAGTCATATGCCATGTTGTTCCTGAATCCATTAACTAGACTTCAGTGAGCTCTTCTCTATCTGTAGAGATTGTTATTGCTTCACTATATAAAACCTCTTCATCTTCGGAGGTGTTTGCAATACATCCTTGAGGTTTTGATGACTCTATAATATTCTCTATACCCTTTTTAAACCAACAATCCTTTTTCAAGTGCCCTTTTCTACTACAGTTGTAGCATTTCACAGTCTTCTTACTTCTTGATTTGAACCTCCCCTACCTTTGACTCCCACTGGAGCCACGCTCCATTGATTTTCCTTTTGACACCAACAACGCCTTTACTTGGTTTGAACTGTTTCTGTCTCCTTTGTTTTTGCGCCTATTTTCTTCTTCCAAGATAGCGACTGCAACATCATCGAAGACTAAATAGTCTGTGAGTATATTATTTGTCAAGTTGATAATAAGTTGATCATATGAATCAGGAAGACTTTGAAGTAGAAGCTCTGCACGTTCATTTTCCTCTATTTGCTGACCCAATGTAGTGAGTTGTGAAAATAGAGTCCTTATTGTGTTGATATGGTCAGTCACCGATGTGGTTTCTGCCATTCGAAGGGTATAAAGTCTCCGCTTTAAGAAAATCTTATTGTGCAAAGACTTGGACTCGTATAGCTTTGTTAGAGTCTCCCATATCTCCTTAGTTGTTTTCTTCTCCGCCACACTTGATAATACTTCATCGGCTAATGCTAAATGTATGTTAGCAATAGCATTGCCATCCATCTCATTCCATTTTGCATCATCAGTGACCTCCGCGGGCCGATCCCCAATTGCTGCCAAGCAATTGTCTTTCCTTAAAATTGCCTTGATTCTCATTTTCCACAATGAGAAATTGCTCCCATTAAACCTCTCAATCTCGTACTTTGCTGCCATTGTATTCACCAAGATCTATTCAGCTATCACCGTTTCACAGATCTGTAACGTATATAGAAATAGTATCGTGTGAATAATACTTCACTAAGTAAGTTCCCAAGAGAGATTGGAGGGGTCACAAACGGTCCTGCTTCAAACCCAATCTCCTTAGATAGAACTTCTAGATTGTATTTACTCACCACACTTATTTTTTATATACGCTAACAATAACAAATGTAAACAGTACCGTATAGATGAATAGTACCCTATAGGTGAATAGTGCAGTAGATGTGAATAGTACCGTATACACGAATAACTTTTGTGTATTAACAAAACCAACCAGAAGGCTCTGATACCACTGTTAGGATGCTGACATGCAAATCCGACAAGACAAAAGGCAAGGAATATGATAAAATGAGAAATGAGACACACAAGAATTTATGTGGTTCACCCAATTTGGGCTACGTCAACAAGAAAATATAGAAGGATTTTACTAAGTAATATGAGAATTACAACCTCTCTCAAGTAATAGGAGAACAACTAAAATCTCTCTATTACTAGGAGAAAACACCTTACTTACTCTCTCACAAATACCTTATAATTTTATGGAATTACTCTCTCTTCACTCTACTTTTCTCTTCTTTTCTTTGGTGTGAATTATAAGCTTGGATGCATTGCCTATTTATAGGAAGAGTGATGGGACAAAGACCATAAATTATGGTATAAATTATGCCAACAACTCATCTCCACTAATTTTTATCTTTCACTAATACTCCACTAATTTTTTTCTTCCACTAATTTTATCTTCCACTAATTAATGGATATACTTAATTAAGTATTGGCCTTACAAGAGATGGCTGGTAAAATTGTCATGGGTATCCTTGACTCTAAAACTGAGGAATACATCATGCTTCCATTGTTGAGCAGTTGTAAAAGAAGATGCCATATCCGACATTCACTAGCTTGTGTAGAAAATCACTTGAAATTAAAAAATCATTGATACTCTTTTTTTCACCTAGTAAAGAAAAATTAAGGATATAAATCATAGTCGATAAAACTATGTTGGTGGGAGAAGTCATTGATGGTGGCTTTAAAACACTCAGAAGGGATAAAACACATGGTTTTATTATAAAAACAAAAACTTATAAAATACAAACACGCACTTTTAATACACACTCTCTCTTTCTCTTTTGTGTTTCATTGTTTTGCAGGATATCAGTTCAACTTCTTTGTTTTTCATATGCTCTCAGATAAAATGATGATGTGTATCGATGTGTTTACTTCTTTTATGATATACTGGATTCTTGGCTAATGCAATCGCTAATCGATTATCAATATA